TGTGTGTGTGTGTGTGTGTGTGTGTGTGTGTGTGTGTGTCACCACCCACAGGCACTCAGACCCGTGAATGATTGGACCGCGGAGTGAGCCATCCCTCCACTTGACGATCTGTGCAGCTAGCAGCAGTGCTAAGCTAACCAGCGGTCGGTGGAGTCGCGGTGACCGGGCAGAGTCGTTCCTCCTCCGGTATGATGCCAGGTGACAGCGACATGAGCTCCATCGTCCAGAGAATCGCCCACCAGGCTCTCGTGACGTTCCGCAGCCCGCCCCGGGTCGGAGGGGCCGACGCCGGGAAGTGTTTCCTAGAGAACCTCGGGAAGCTCAAGAGCCTGATGACGGAAGTGCGAGCGGCGGACCTGAAGCTCGTCCCGCGGAGAGCCGAGGACAGCCCGCCCGGTGTGGCCCCTCCGCTCCCCTTCCACCACGGAGCGCCCCCGGTCACCTACATGCACATCTGCGAGACGGAGCGCTTCAGCATGGGGGTGTTCCTGCTGAAGAGCGGCGCCTCCATCCCGCTGCACGACCACCCGGGGATGCACGGTGTCCTCAAGGTCCTGTACGGGAAGGTCAGGATCCGCTGCTTCGACCGGCTGGAGCGGCCGAGCGGCGGCGGCTCCACCGCGGCGTCTCCGCTCCCAGCGCCGGCCCAGGTGGGCTCTCTGCGGCGCTCCGTGCTCCGCTCCACCGGGGAGTACACGGAGGAGAGCGGGCCGTGCGTCCTCTCCCCTGACCGGGACAACCTCCACCACATCGACGCTGTGGACGGCCCCACGGCGTTCATGGACATCCTGGCCCCGCCATACGACCCGGACGACGGCAGGGACTGTCACTATTACCGGGTCCTGGAGGCGGATCCCGGGGAGCAGAAGGAGAAGGAGCTCTGGCTCATGGAGATCTCGCAGCCGCCGGATTTCTGGTGCGGAGGAGAACCGTACCCGGGCCCGGCGGTCTCCCTCTGATCCGTCCGATAAACGTCTTCTTTTCTCGGCCTGGTTCAGTGACCTCGGACAAACTGTGGTTAAATGTGTGATCCATGTGTGGAGCCGGGCCGAGCCGGGCCGGGCCGGGCCGAGGGTCAACACCTCCTGAATGTATCTGTGCAGGTGGAGGGAACATCAGGTGACCTCAGTGTCTGTGCTGCAAAGACTGAATTCAAATTATAATCACACTTCCTCCATCAGCTTCATGCACTAAAGCTCCTCAGCCTCCATCACAAAGGGAATCAAACCATTTTCATGAAGCGTTTCTGCTCCTTCATCATTCATCCACTGAATCTGTGTTTTTCATAGTTTAGTGTATTTTCAGTCAGAGTCTTGTAGCTGAGGTCACCTGGACGTCTGCTGTCCTCCGCACGTCCCGGATCCTGTGTGAGTCCATGAGAAACTGTAGAAATGTTTCATCTCCAGGTTAAAGGGTTCAAAAACAGAAGACATCACCAAGATTGGACTTTGAGGACATGAATATGTAAAAAAACAACAACAAAAAGGCCCCTGAGAGGTTTATTGATGCCAAGAAATGAAGGAGTGATGATGTGCAGGGGCCTGATGCTGCGTTCGAGAAGAGTCGCTGCTGCAAGTTTCTAATCCAACAAAAATCAGTTGAGAGTTTCTGCGGAACCCTGACGTCTAATTTAAAGCATCACACTGTGACCTTTAGATGCACTGCACAACCTTAGACTGACCCATGATGTCCATTGGTAAAATGGTAACATTTAGACGTCCTGCATGAAAAAACACTGAGTTATTTGGGTAATTATACATTTGTCTGGGATTTCCAGATGTGTGGCTGCTCCTGAGCTGAAATGTCTCTGCTGCTGCTGGTGGAAGTTTTCCCGGACCACTGAGGTGAAGGCGTCCATGTGTTTAAACCGTCTTCCTGCTCGAGGTTTTGTCCTGTTTGTTTGTCGGATGAAAAAACGTGTGAATCTTCAGGTTTATTCTTTAGTTTTGACTGAAAATCATCTAAAGCTGCAGGTTTTCTTGTGATTAGGACTCAAGAGTTTGCTCCTCAGGACTGTTTGTGATTTGCTGACTGATTGTTTGTAAAGCTGTGCACTAATTTCCCATGTTTGAAAAGAGACGTTTTCCCTGTTCGCTTGAGCTCCAGCGTCGGATTAAGAATCATAAAGTTGTTCATGTCACAGTTTGAGTTTTTTTGATTTAATCAGACGATTGAGGAGAATCTGGAGCTGTTTTCAGACTTGAAATATCTGGAGAATAATGTGTGGACATGTTGTGTAGACATGTTGTGTAGTCATGTTGTGTAGTTGTGTAGTCATGTTGTGTAGTCATGTTGTGTAGACATGTTGTGTAGACATGTTGTGTAGTCATGTTGTGTAGTCAGTGTGTGTGTAGCAGATTGTCGACTCGTTCACAACAACAGGAACATGTGGGTAACAAGGGGTGGAGCCTGTAGAGCAGCAGGAGGCGGGACATGACGTCTAAACTCCGCTGTGTAAAGATCAGTGTTGTTGTTTACAGCTCGTCCACACGGCGTC